CTTTGTCGGAGAAAGGGGCAGCAGCCCCGAAAAGTTCCTACAAGTTACGGAAGAGAGAGAAAAAGAAGTAAAGGCTGAAGGACTCTGAATTGTGCCTTTGAGAACTTTGGTTCTAGGGGGAGAATGGGAGGGCACGGTATTGGGCAAGAAAATTTGAAAGGGGAGGGTAAAAGGGCTAAAAGATTGACACGGTTCACTAGCAGTATAGCGATGAAAGAATCTGGATTTTGAAGAAAAAGTCATCTGGAAGATCTCCTATCTTGGGTTTTTAGTCAGTAGTGAGTTCTTTGCTTTCTCCCATATATGTAGTCCCCTTCTCCCTTTTTTCTGTTAGTTATTTGTAGTGTTATAAAAATAATAATAAAAAACTCCCCTCCGTGGGAATAAAAAAATAAAAAATAAAGACAATCAGATGGTGAATAACCGATCCTCATTCCACCTCCCACTTCCGGCTACTTCATGGACACGGGGAAGGAGGGCAAAATAGATGTAACTGAGAACAGGAAGGGTGCCAGCCAAGATGGCACCATTGCTGTCCTCAGCCTCAGCCTGGAATTCGGCAGAGAGTTCCACCAGGTTGGGGCCAGGACCAAAAAGGCCCTGACCCTGATTATGGACAGCCAGAGATCTTTAGGGCTGGGGCTCACCAGTAGATTGCTGTCTAAGGAGTGCAAGGCTTTCGGGGACATAACAGAGGAGACAGTCCCATAGATATGTCGGTCCCTGACTGCTCAAGGCCTTATAGGTCAATACCAAAAGCTTGAACTTGAGGTGCTGGTTAAAGTTATTGCTGTGCAGGCGGCCATTCAGTTCCGACTGACCCCTTCTGAGGAGAGAGCTGCATCATTTCCAAGTGGAGGGGGAGGAAAAAGAAAAGAAAGTCGAAGGGTCTGGAAAGCAAAACAACATATACACACAAACACACACAATTACAGCTCTCAAAGGGAAAAAGGTGAAATAAATACAGGAGGCTTGCTTGGAATATCTGCACATTTTCTTGTTGTTTAAGGGTGTGTGTGCGTGGATGAGTTAAATGTATAGCCTCTTCAGGGTTTTCATTTTTCTTTCTAAGTTGGCTTCATAGATTGGAGACAATTCAGGGTTGACCCTTCTTGTCTTTTTTTTTTTTTTTTTTTAGTAATTCAATAAGACCTGTCTCATGGCAGGTCTGTCCACAGTTTTCACAGCAATCTGCAAATTTTAGTTTCCTTGAGATGAAGAGGGCGTGGTTACTCCCCTACCAAATTTTGCAGCTCCACCACTTCAACTCAACAATCCCTTGTTTTGATTTTAAGGACCATGTGAATAAGAAATTTTCAGAGCTGGCTCTTCTTATGCTAACTAGTAATTGATATGTAAGCTTCTGAATACTTCAAATATCCCATATTTTGTTATACCGAAGATTAAACTCAGGTGCAGATTTGTTCTTCTGTGCAATTAGTAATCAGTAATTTGGCCGCTAGGAAATGCTATAGAATTAGTTTGCTTATGGAAAGTATGGAAAGTCACTTGGAAAATGATGTTGAAATAGTAAGAATTGGCTTCTAGGTATGGTTTGAATTGCAATTTTTTTTTTTTTTACATAATTTTACAGGCTGGTACTTTCCCCATTTCATCTAACAGCCCCTCCCCATGCATGCGCGCGTATACACACACACACACACACACACACACAGAGTCTTTTTTCCAGTACCATAAAAAGGAATCTAGAAGAAAAGAGAGAAGAAATCTAGAAAGGGGGTGGGGAATCCAGAGAGAAACAATGGGCTTGCAAAATGTGAATGGCCAATGTTTTGCAGTTGTTCAAAATAGAAACCAGGAAGTTCAGAGTTCTAATTTCATCTCATCTCGGCTTCAGTTTTTTGCTTTTAAACAAGAAAGAAGGACTGGTCATTTTCCCTTCAATTATTACATTTCTGTAAAAAGATTATAGTTAACCAATAACCCAGACAGTGTATAAATTTAAGTTCACATTTTCTGTTCTGCTCATTAAAATGAGAGAATCTTTAAGTAAACGGAAAAACATAGAAACATAGAGCTGGAAGGGACCTGAAGGGTTACCTAGTCTAATGCCCTGCACAATGCAGGAGATTCACAACTCCCCCACCCACTCCCCCAGTGATGCTTGCTTTATACGCAGAAGAAAGCAAAAAACCTCCAGGATCCCTGGGTCAATCTGGCCTGGAAGAAAATTCCTTCCTGACCCCGAAGTGGTGATCAGTATTACCCTGGTCATGTTAGAAAGGGCCATGGTAGCTGAGCACTGCCTCATCCCTTCCTGATCTGCCTAAATTCACAGAGTTAGAAATATACAGAGTACTGTCTATTGTTTTCACATCCCCTGTCTTATCTTTACAACAACCTTGTGAGGTAGGCTAGGTTTATATGATAGTCAAATGTAGGCTTGCTCACAACTTTAATGCTAGTAGTTTACGATGTAGAATTTTTGCCCACAAGACTCCCCAGCTTAGAGGTGTCATCCATGACATTCCCGTAAGGACTTGCACTGCTGCATTTTGGATCAATTGAAGCTTCCGGGTCAATCTCAGGGGTAGGCCAGTATAGAGCGGTAGTCTAACCTGGAGGTGACCGTTGCATGGATTACCATGGCCAGATCCGGGTGTGACAGGAAAGGGGCCAGTTATTGAGCTTGATGTAGATGAAAAAATGTTAGCTTGGCAGTCTGAGCAACCTGGGCCTCCATACATAAGGAGGGATCCAAAATCACTCCCAAGCTCCTGACGGATTCGGCCAGCGTCAATGGTAATCTGTGCCCAAATCCTGAAGGTGCCCCCCAGCCACAGAACCTCTGTGTTTGTTGGATTCAATTTCAGCCTACTCTGTTTCAACCACCCAACCACAGCCTCCAAACCGATGGCCAGATTATGTTGGGTGGCATCCGGGTGGCCATCCAATAACAGATATAGCTGGGTGTCATCAGCATACTGGTAACACCCAAGTCCGAAACTCCGGACCAGCTGGGCGAGGGGACGCATATAGATGTTAAGCAACATCGGGAGAGAAACGCCCCCTGAGGGACCCCACATAATAGGGGGTATCTGGAGGATACATTCTCTCCCAGTACCACCCTTTGTCCCTGGCTATGGAGAAATGAGGTGAGCCATTGAAGGGCCAACCCCTGAACTCCCATGTCAGTGAGGCAGTGGGTCTGAAGGTCATAATGGACTGTGTCAAACACTGCTGTAAGATCTAATAGTAGTAGCAGCGCCACCCTGCCCTGATCCAGCTGTCTTTGGAGATCATCCATCAGGGTGACCAACACTGTTTCTGTCACATGGCCAGGGTGGAAGCCGGATTGGAATGGGTCCAACACTGATGTCTCATCTAGATAATCCTGGAGCTGTTCAGCTACCGCCCTCTCAATTACCTTACCCAGAAATGAGAAATTCGAAACTGGGTGGTAATTGGAAGGATCAGAAGGGTCAGTATGGGCTTCCCACCACACTGACAAGGGCCGGAACCACCCAGCACATGCCCCCGTTTGGCTGTCGTTGGAACTGAAAAGGTGGTCTGCTTGCGAGCAATGCTCCTTCTAAGCTGTGGAGTCTTGTGAGCAAAAATTCTACTTTGTGAGCTACTGGCATTAAAGTTGTGAGTGAGTGATTTGGCTACTGCATAAATTAGTTTGCCCTGGAGCCATCCTTCCTCAGCTAAGACAAAAATGTATGAGCCAGAGGCTAAAAAACTGTGAGCTAGCTCCCACTAACTCAGCTTAGAGGGAACACTGCTTGCCTGTATGGATCGAACACAGTGCAGCCCGTGGGTGTACCTGGCCAGGTACAGGGCTTGATCAGGTCTGTGGATGTATGCCCATGGCCCAGCAACTTAAGCCAAGGTGGCCTCTGGCATCCAGAGGGGTTGGCAAGGTTGCTGCCATGGGGGCTGCATGCACCTGGGACCTTTGGGCCCCCATGGGTATGGCCAGGAAGTGGCCCAGTCTTGCCAGCCATTCTGCTTTCCACATTGCTAAGAATCCCCTGAAAAGGGTAAGGGAGGATAGTGATTACAGAGCTAGGAATTTCCACCAGGTGAGACAGTTAAACCATGTGTCAATTGCACCTCTGGCCGATGGCTAAGGTGTAACTTCTGCAAGCATAACAGAGAAAGGGGGTGGTCATGAATCGGTCCACGCATCTGTGTGGATGACCAGTCCCTCCACAGTGCAGGCTCCCTGTATTCACCCCACAATATTCCTAGTTCTGTGGGTGCTGGGCCCTGGGATGATAATGTGATTCTGGAACCTGGCTGCCAACGAGCAGCGATGACATTTACCATAATGATTGCCGTACTGCTGGAAAGCCATTTGAAAGGGTGACGCACATATCGTTCGTGGTGCCCATCACTAGTGCTGTGAGTGACCGACATTGCCCAGTTGCTGCTTTTGTTTGCTGTTCAAGCCCCTTATTTGCATACGCAAATATTTCCTGGGGTGGCTGGGGTCAGGATGGCCCTAGCGAGGCTCTGTAGGTCTATGCCCTCTGAAATTGACCATATCCGTTCTGCAGTGATTTCAGCTGTTGGTTGAACCTCACTAGTGATGGGCCTTTATGCCAATGGCTTTGTTCCAACAATGGATCCAGCACTCCTTGTCGGGCCACACCAGCCCACCGGGGTCAGCCGCCTCCCCCCGTGCTGCTCCAGAAGCAACCACCCATGGGATTGCCCCCGTGGAACCCTGCTGTCCTCTCTCCCCTTCTTCTACAAGGTGAGTTGGCCAACCCGCCAATCATGCCTGTGCATGCTGTGGCTGGGGGAGTTGTGGCCTGTCCCCTTGCCTTACCCTCCTTCCCATTTGTGTCCATTTCTGTGGCTGCGGTCTTGCCAGGATGAGGCCCCCCACCCCTGTTGTGTCCAGTGGCTCCTTGTTGCACAGGAGTGTGTGTGCACTTGCTCTAAGTCCGCATGGCAGGGAGCTGTCAGACAGTATTCCGTGCCTTGTGCCCTACCTCTGGAATTCTGGGACAATCTCCTGGAACTATTTGTAGGGTGGAGGGGTGCGGCCGGAGTAGGGGAGTGTGTTTATTGGGTGCACACTTAGTTGGTATCCTGAGCTTCTTTGGGTCCCATGGGCATGGCTGCAGCTGTGCGGAGAGGAATGAATTTGGAGTTACCATGGCTGTCAATGGGCTACGATGCTATTTTTGCCAGTGCAAGTTTGCTTCTGCTTGGAGAGGCGTTCCTACACTGAAAACACTTAGGAAGCTGCCTAATGGCTACCATACCCCTTGGAACAACCACATCTGTACTGGTGGAGGGGTTTGTGCAGTTTCTCCACTGACATGTGGCTGCAGTGGTCCTGTGCCAGTGGGACTCAGTTGCACAATGGTGCTAGTGTAAACTGCCCTTATCCTGGCATAACTCTGAGTTAGCCGGCGTAGGGCTCAGTTAGCCCTTATTACAATCCCCCCCCCCATTAGGAATGCTCTGCTAATCACCCAATTTATAAGAGAGAGCCATTTTAAACTGGACAGTTAAAATCACCAAAACTTTATGAGAAAGCACTCACATCAATGGCTTATAACACCCTCCTGCCACTCCCTCCCACATGGGTCCCCAACAGACACCAACACTTTAGATGAGCACAATGATCCAACTTTATTATACTACCTTTATTATACTTTACTATACTACTATAATACTACCTGTGTGGCTAATCGAATGTCTGACTTTGGCCCCCGGTTGACCAAGAAGGCTGTCTTGGTTATCATCCCTGAGAGAAGCATGAACACCTATGAAGCATTGTAGGAGCTGTGGTGGCTCAAGTGGTTAAGACGCTGAACTGCAGGCTGTGGAAGGGCCGTAGTTCAGCAGTTCGAGACCCGAGTTGCCGCATGACCGAGTGAGCTCCCGTCTCTAGTTCCAGCTCCTGTCAACCTAGCAGTTTGAAAGCAAGAAATTGCAAGTAGATAAATAGGTACCACTTTGGTGGGAAGGTAACAGCGTTCTGTGCGCCTCGGCGTTTAGTCATGCCGGCCCACATGACCACGGAAATGTCTTCGGACAGCGCTGGCTCTTTGGATTTGAAACGGAGACGAGCACCGCAACCCTGGAGTCAGACTTGACTGGCTTTCGAGCAAGGGAACCTTTACCTTTACCTTTAAGAAGCATTGTAGGATATTTTTTTTATTTAGGGTAGCATTTGTGGCTATGGCAGAGCCACAAGTATGAGGAAGCATTTGCATTTGTGCTTTAATGCTTCATTATTTTAAAACTTTAATTATATAAAACAAGCTGTATGAAGTAGGCAAATTAAAACCTTAGTGTGAATTCAGATTTTTCAAAAATGAACCTTCTAGGTGTTCATGCTTAGTACTACCCTCTTAAAAGGTAACAGTGAGTTTATGACTGAGGAATCATTAGTGAGATTGGAAAAATTCATCTGTAGAAATAAAAATTGTAGTGCCACCTCTGTTCAGTTCAGTTGGACTGTCACAGCAAAACATCCTGGTGCATAAAAGTAACTTAAATGCATTAAAATGGTATTACTAGGTGTTTTTTTAACCATATGTTTTGTTGCTTTCAGTATATTTCACAGAATAACAAAAGGCTCCAACAGCAAGCAAAATTGAAGGCAGAATCAGCTGCATCTCCTTTCCCTGAAAGGGAGCTGTTGGCCTCGGAAAAAATGGCTATCCGTGATGTTTCACCTCTTCTGCCTCCGTCATCTGAGAAACCAGTGATAAATGAAGGTCTAGAGTTGACTGCAGTCACTGGTGATTTAGAAACTGTAGCAGAAACATCGTCAAAGAAAGAGAAACAGTGGAAAGAGATGAAACTAAACATGAATGAATTACCAGGCATTTTGGCCCGTCTATCCAAAATCAAACTTACAGGTATTATTGTTGTTTTTTAATTTAATATGGAGCATGTTTCACTTTTTGACAGGTCTGTTTTATTTATGATCTCATGTGTTTACTTCTGGTCTTATTTGTGGAGCCCAATCCTGTGCGTACTTACTCAGAAATAAGGACCACTTAGTTCAGTGAGGCTGGCTCTAATGTAAATATCCATGGGATCACAACCATAGAATCATTATTGACCCCAGTAATCATTGTGTTGTAGGTTTTTAAAAATTCAGATTTTATTTATTTATGTTATTTATAGTCTGCCTTTTTCACAGGGACTGAAGGCAGGTTACTCTTAGCGAGTCAGTACGATCAACTAAATGGGACATTCAGTAACCAATGCTGTGATGGAAATTTAAAATGCTGTTTCCTAATGCAGTAAAATCACAGAAGTGTAGTATGGATGGGAATACATAATGATTTTTTAAATTCAGATTATTGATATACTTCTATTTTTTTGGTTTTATGAATTTTTTATATTAAAGTTTTATTAGGATTTAATAAAAGCCTATTAAGTGGTAAGGCCTTTGTAGGTTAGGGTGTCTTTTTAGCTGATGCAGGCAGACAAGAAACAGCATTCTTTTTTTTCTTTCAAGTTGTTTGGATGGAATAGCTATCTAGCTGTCTGGTGTAAAGTGTTAGTACAACAATATACTTGTAGAGTTCTTGTTTGTCTCGGCTTCAATGTTAGTATGTTGTTGTGAGAGAACTTTCTGAGCATCTTCTTGTTATTTGCTTCAAAAGGCAATTTTCAGAGTCCTTCTGCCTTTACTTTGGTTTTCTGTCTCTGAAATCATATGTAACTTTCATTGCGCCTGCACCCGTTTCTACAGCAGAGTCCTCATCCGTTCCAGAGGTAGCGGAGTCACTTGATTTCAATTCTTCCTCTTTGGATTCTTCCTCCGGTCCCAACTGACGTCTCAAAAATTCTTTGGCTTTAAAAATGGAGTCAATCTTTTCTCTTTTGTTGTTGATTTTAAAGATGACGCCCTCTGAGATCGCCCACCTATACGAAATTCCATTGGTTTGAAGAAAAGAAATTAAGTCCTTATAGCTTTTCCTCTTTTGGCGAATTTCAAATGGAATGTCTTTTAAAGTTTTAATGTTTCTATTCCCCAGTTTCAGTGGAGTTGCTGAAGTCGCTTTTAAAATAGCATCTCTGGACTGTTTTCTTGAGAATCTGACCACAATTTCTCCAGGCAGGCTATTTTTTAAATATAATTGGCATATGCCCTATAAGCAGTCTCCATCTCTTTTACTACTTCATCCGCTGTTGAGCCTATTGCTGGGGTGATGATCTCGCTGAGCAACTTCCTCAGATTCTCCTTTTCCGATTCAGGAACTCCCTGGAATCTGACAATCATATTGGCTTTTTCCATTTGTAGCTGTAACAAACGGTTTTCTTGGAAGTTTTGTTTTGCTTCAACTTCCCCCATTCTTTTCTTCATTTTCTTATTTGTGGTGTCTATCTCTTTAATTCTCTCAATCGTATGCTTCACCTTCTTCGCTGTTTCTGCCAGCTGGAGCTGCTGGGATGCGAAGTTTTGATTCAGGGACGTCAGTTGCTGGATAATACCATCGAGTTGCTCCATCACTGGCTTGAACATATCCGCTAACATTTTCATGATGTCTGCTCCCTCTTCCAGTTTTGGGTTCTGACTACCCACTGGTTTCGTTTTAAACTTTCTTTGCGAGGCTGCCATTTTATACGATTGTTTACAATTCCAAACCACTTCTCGCGGACTCGAAAAATTGTCGCCTTAATGTCAGTGCTCAAGTAAGTCTCTCAAAACAAAATCGCTGCTTGTTTCCCCCCTGCCCCTTCGTTATGCTTATCTGTCCATTTGCATAAGAGGTGTCCCTCTTTGTGCTCCGCTTTTCCCACGGGGTGTGTGTGTGTGTAATTCGCTTTTAAAATATTCCGTTTATTTTGAACTCACGTTCATTGTCGGTCATTTCTCTGACCTCACTCGCAGTAATCGATATTCCGCTCGATCTTCAGCACCTGTCCCAGTCGAACCAGCTTGTGCCCGAGGGCCACACAGCGGCAGGACCGTCAGGGCGGAGGGAAGCCTCAATTCTCCATCATTGAGCCATTGAAGAGGCTGCCCCTCAAAAGCCCTCTGGCCTGGAGCCTATCGCAAAGGCTTCGTGTGAGTGCTGCTTGAGGTAGCACCCCTCCATACCACTGGTGTGCGGGCCGCTCCCCTGAGGTCCAGGGAGAACGACCGCCATCGCTGATCCACAAACCGGAAACCTCTAGCTGTCCGGTGTTTTTAACAGGCCTTGAGTGCAGTATGGCTGGTACAGCAGAAGATAGGTTTTTCAATAGATGTATTTGCTTGAAGTTCATGGTTTTAGTTGTTTGGGGTAACACTCTGCAGTTTCTGGGTCAACAAGGGCTTTAGTTTCATATCAGAAAACAACACCTTTTGTTTGGGTATGAAGATTCCTTGGGTATCTCTCTCTATAATAATTCTCTGTTGGTGCTGGCACGCTGCTGAACATTCCACATGGCGCCCACAGCCTTTGGCTCCGTGATCTGTAAGTCAGAAGCTGTCCCTATCCACTGTCTGTGTTGCCTGAGTCTTGCCTCCAACATTCTAAATAGTTTGCTGTTCCTTTCCCCCCCGTAGCCAGTCAGAACACAGAGGTTATTTGCATATGTGGCCTGATTGGCCTTTGCCTCAAAGCACAGAGGTCGTTAGAGGCCTTTGCCTCTAACATTCTAAACAGTTTGCTGTTGCTGTTCTGAGGTATAATGTGTTTTGAGGTATCCTTAGTGCCTGCTGGGAGAAACCATTGTTGCCAATCTCCAGGTGAGGGCTGAAGATCACTCAGAATTACAACTGCTTTCCAGATGGCAATCAGTTCCACTGGAGAAAATGGTGGACTCTATGTCCTTATATCCTGCTGAGATGGCCCCTCTATGACAGCCAATGTGAAGTAACAGTCAGGGCTTCAGAGCACGGTAGAGGCTGCAGGTGAGGGGTGTGTGGAAAGCTAAACAGTGAGAGGGAAATAAAGGTAGGTTGATGATTGGCTGGGAATGAAATAGGGTTGCCAACTCCAGTTTGGAAATTCCTGGAGATTTAAAGGATGGAGCCTGGAGAGGGTGAGGTTTCAGGAGGGGTGGGACCTCAGACAGGTACAATGGGACCTCAGACAGGTACAATGCCATAGACTCCACCCTCCAAACTAGCCATTCCGTCATGGGGAACCATTGTTGCCAATCTCCAGGTGGGAGCTGGAGATCACTCAGAATTACAACTGCTTTCCAGATGGCAGAGATCAGTTCCTCTGGAGAAAATGGTGGACTCAGTGTCCTTATATCCTGCTGAGATGGCCCCTGTATGACAGCCAATGTAACGTAGCAGTCAGGGCTTCAGAGCACGGTAGAGGCTGCAGGTGAGGGGTAGGGTGGAAAGCTGAAGAATGAGTGGGAAATAAAGGTAGGTTGATGATTGGCTGGGAAGGAGATAGGGTTGCCAACTCCAGGTGGGAAATTCCTGGAGATTTGAGGGATGGAGCCTGGAGAGGGTGAGGTTTCAGGAGGCTTGGGACCTCAGACAGATACAATGCCATAGACTCCACCCTCCAAACCAGCCATTCCATCATGGGGAACCATTGTTGCCAATCTCCAGGTGAGGGCTGGAGGTCACTCAAAATTACAACTGTTCTTCAGGTAGCAGAGATCAGTTCCTGTAGAGAAAATGGTAGACTTGGTGTCGTACCCTGCTGAGGTCGCCACAGCAAATTTATTTCCACAACAGGCCTTATTCCTAGTTATTAATAAGGTTAGGTTAAATAAACATTAAAGATATCATGTAGTCACACCTTTTCCTGTAACTGACCAATGAATGAATGGCTACTCAGATGATGCTCTGTTATTTTGTGACCAATTATGCTTTCTGGATGTTATTTTTTTGCCTATGTTATTTTGGGTATAAAACTTCATGTACTTCCTTATATTGCTCAGAAAGCAGTCAATTTTGATAGGCTGGTTTAGCCTAACTGTTTTCAATTGTTTAATTGCAATTAAATATCCAAAGAACTTCTTTTTGGCTTGGGAATATAAGATCAGCTGTGTGCTGCTGGGAGAGGGAGTTCATTTTGAGTTCAGCAGCAGTTACTGTTCAGTAAAAGTTCAGCTACAGGAGTGGATGTCTGAAGAGTCTGACTAAAAGTCTGTCAGACAGGTTCACCTTTTGAATAAAAGGTGATACTCCTGGTCCTAGCTGTGTTCAGCATAACCGGAGAAAGAATTCCATCTAAGATTTCAGAGTCTAGTGTCAGCTACAATTGAAGTACATTTTCACACAGACGCCAAGAACTGGGGTTTGAGATTTTGACAACGTGTGACTGGGTAACAGACTGAAGCTCCCAATCACGCCAAAAGGAATTGGATTATGTTTTCAGGGAGGAAATATAAGTCCTTTCCAGTTATACAGGGAATTGGCACTGAGGGAGTCCCCGGTCTGTTGTGAGAGGAAACGGTTATAAGCTACTCAGGGGAAAGAAGACAGATTGTGATTTCAGAAAAAGGGGAAAGAATCTGATACACTAAAAGAGTGACCTTTCCAGAAAACCTGAACAAAAACATTGCAACTGAAACCAAAGTGCTTAGTCAACCACCTCTCACTGATAAGAACCAAGAATTTGTAAATAAGCTGCTACACCACCACATTGTCTGTCAACTTAAAAATTCCCCATTTTTACCAAAAACCTTTACCTCAGTCTTTCCAATACCTGACTATCCCATACAATCCCTGTCTATTAAAGACAATCTTTATTATTGTTCACTGTTACACAGTCTCCAGTGCCATTTCAAGAGATCTAAAAAGAGGGCTCCTGTTTTCTCCTGACAAGTTCCTGGGCTGGGCAAAAGCCACATTAGATTCTGTCAAAGAGTGGGACATTCAGATATATAAAGCTGCAAATATTATCATGCTACTAGGGGACTAGGTCAGTACCTGAAGGGAACTAAAAATTTTGGCAGGAAAAATTT